CAGGTGGCGCTACAAGCCTTTTTCATGACTTCCTGGCTCCCACAATATAGACTGTAGGCCAGGACTGGGGAATGTGTGGTCCTCCAGATGGCATTGGCCAATGACTGGAGGTTGGGCCCTTTAACATCTGGAGGGCCACAAAATGCCCTGGCCCTACCCTATGCACTCTTTCATCTGAATGTTGGGAGGTTGGGAACAGGACTGGGAGCACAATTTTGTTCCTTCCATGCACTGGAAGAATACCAGCAATGCGCTAGTGTATGAGTCAAACTTCATTAGGAATATGTCTCGGTATTTCAACACTGCTTGTTCCCATCACCACTATGACCATTTTGTTGATTAAAGACACAATGATCAAATAAGTTATTCTCTTTCAGAAACTTCTGGAGTGACTCTTAATCTGACACATAATCTTCTTTGCTAATTTTTGTCTGATGCCTTGGGCCAAAGTGTACAAGATTGCAAAATGATTCTGATATTCAGTGGTCATTTCCCTCCTCTGAGTAACAGTTTAATGAGGTTACATTAACTTTCTGCCCGCCACTGATGACATGAGGAGTGTTGATAAAAATCTGATTAAAATCTCTTACATTAAGCACATTTTCTCAGATTCATGTTCAGGTACTTTCAACTCACCCCTTGTAATGGCATTTTTACCATGCATAATGCGTCTCCTATTACCAGATGCATTAAAAAATCAAATAAAACAAAGTAATTTATGTCAAAAAGTAAGAAACACTCACCAAATACATCATTACGCCAGTAACTGCTTGCTATTTAAGGCATTAAAGCAATTGAACAATGTCAAGTTTAAAATTTAATGGCTTTGATGGGTTTTTGTTTTAAGCAGTGGCTTAAAGATTATTATATTTTTCTCATCTTTTCTTGTATATTTTAGTCTTTTAAAATTCAGAATGCAAGAAAATTATGTGCCAGGTTGTCAGTTATCTTTCACTAAATGTTGTAGCACTTACAGGAAATTTATTTTGATCAATGCTTAATGAATTATTACCTTCACCTCAGTCCATGACATCAAAATGTGCAGAGCCTTCTCCACTTTTGCATCTCTCAGGAACTGTGTACTTATAAATAGCTTTCAGAATCAACGAATAAAGCAATTTCATCTCCCCAAAGCTGGAAGAAACAAGAAGGGGATCATTTATCTTGAACCTGGTCCTCACCACCAGGGAAGAACTGATTGACAAAGTGGAAGTACTGGGAACCTTGGGAGGAAGCAACCATGTCCTCTTGGGTTTCCTGATACAGAGGCAAGGGAAAGCTGAGTGTAGTCTGACATGCACTCTAGGCTTCAAGAAGGCTGATTTCAAAAAGCTCAAGGAACTACTGGGTGAGATCCCATGGTCAGAAATACTCAAAGAGAAGGGAGTCCAAGATGGATGGGAGTTTCTTAAAAGTTTCTTAAAGGTGAAGGCACAAAGACAAATAGTTCTAACAAGAAAGAAAAGTGGGAGGCATCTAAAGAAACTGGTGTGGCTGCATAAGCAGCTTATAGATGGGTGAAGATTTAAGAAGAACAACATGTATAAGGAATGGAAGTAAAGGGAAATCATGAAGGAAGAGTAGACATGAATAGCCAACAGTTGCAGGGAGAAGGTCAGGGAAAAGGTCAGGTGGGCCAAATGCAGAATTAGTTCAGTTTGAAAAAAAGGTTAAAACTAATTTTAAAAATGTTTCTTCAGATATATTTGAAGCAAGAGGAAGAACATGCAAGAAGTAGGTCTTCGGCATGGAGAAGATGAAGAAATGCTGTTGGGTGATAGAGAGAAGGCAGAATTGCTTTGCCTCTGTCTTCACCAAAAAGGAAAGCAATGCTAACAGAATAAATCATGCAAGAGGGAGCTGCAGCCCAAGATCAGAAAAGAGGTGGGAGGGAAACTCCTAGCTATTTTAAATAAATTCAGATCTCTGGGGCCTGATGAGCTACACCTAAGGGTACTAAAGGAGACTGTAGGTGTAATCCCAGGGCCTCTGTCTATAATATTTGACAATTCTTGGAGAACAGGTGAGGTGCCTTCAGACTGGAGGGGGGCAAATGTTGTCTGTCCCTGACTCAAAAAAAAGGGGGGAAAGAAGACTCAGGTAACTACTGACCAGTCAGCTTAACATCAGTACCAGGTCATAGAATGAGATAAAACGGTCTGTCAGCAGTTAGAAAACGATGTTGTGATTGCTAAAACACAGCATGGGTTTCTCAAAAGCAACGCATGCCTGATGGACCTCATTTCTTTTCTTTTTTGATAAAGTTACAAGCTTGGGGGCTCAGGGGAATGCTGTGGATGTAGTGTATCTTGAGTCCACTAAGGCTTTTGACAAAGTCCCCCATGACATTCTTGTGGAAAATCTGGTAAAATGTGGGCTGGACATTGCTACTGTTGGGTGGATTTGTAGCTGGTTGACAGACCAGAGAAGTAGCAAGTGGGGTGACACAGGGTTCTGTCCTGGGCCCGTTGTTGTTCAACATCTTTATAAATGACTTGGATGAAGGAATTGAGATGACGATGATCAAATTTGCAGCTGACATCAAATTGGGACGGGTAACTAATGATGCAGAAGACAGAAGCAGGATTCAAGATGACCTTAACAGACTGGAGAACTGAGCCTAAACTAAAAAAATGAATTTCAATAGGGATAAATGTAGGGTTCTTTCCTTAGGCAGGAATAACTAGCTGCACAAATATAAGATTGGGAATACCTGGCTTGCCAGTAGTACATGTGAAAGCTGCTGCTATTCTAGGCTGCATCAACAAAAGTAAAGTGTTCAGATCAAGGGAAGTAATATTTCTGCTTTGGTCATACCACACCTGGACTACTGTGTCCAGTTCCGGGCATCACAATTTATGAAGTATATTGACAAGCCTGATCATGTGCAAAGGAGGGCAACCAAGATGATTAAGGATCTGGAAACCAAGACTTATGATGAATGATTGAGGGAGCTGGGTATTGTTTAGTCTGGATAAGAAGAAAATGATAAGATAAGATCGCCATCTTCAAAGGGCTGTTACATGGAAGATGGAGCAAGCTTGTTTCTCAGACTCGAACCAAGAGATTCAAGTTACAAGAAATGAACTTCTTGTAACTTGAATCCATTGGTTCGATATTTTATAGGAAGGGATTCATAATTGGAATGAAATAAATAAATTAACTATCCTGCTGCAGCATGTCCAACTTCAACTCTTCAAGTAAGTGAAATTCCATTTGTACATCCTTAGTGGCAGAGGTTTTGCAATATTTTCCATCTATTTTTCTTATAGAAGTTTTCCAAGATTTTTCTTGAAAGAATATATATATATATTCCTCCTTGAACAAGAGATTAAAGGGCTTTTTGTTATTTTAATAAAAGATGTGACTTCTGCAAATTTCACATTTTTAATTATGGGTAGGCTATATTTGGTAAATCAGTCATTGGGAACAGCAGAGAGTTTGTTCAGTGAGGTTTCCTCCGAAGCCATCCTTGCAAAGAGTGATAATTATTTTGTGGTTACACACAAAAGTCTTGACTCTTTTGTGGAAAGTCATGAGAACCATCTCCCAAGGAGGTGGAGGCACGACGTCATGAAGCAATCATCTCCGACTCCTTTTCTTTGGTTTTGAACTCTATTTATACAGCAAATTGGAGAGGATGTGTTTTACTGGGCTGTCATCGTATAAATTAGATTTGTTTGCAAAGCACAGCTTTGGGAATGAGCATCTGGATTCACAAAAAGGTCTAAGGCAGAACCTACGGAGAGACTTCCCAACTGTTAGCTATTTGCCATTGTAATGGTAAGAATTTGCCATGTTCAAAGGCAGTGTACCTGTGTGGGTGAATTAGAGCAGGGAGCCATTGTGGGGTAGTAGCTAAAGTGTCAGATGAGAACCTGGAGATCTGGGTTCAAATCACCACTCAGCTATGAAGCGCACTGGGTGCCCTTGAGGTTGTCATAGTCTCTCAGTGTGACCTGCCTCACAGGGATGTTGAGAATACAAAATGAGAAGGGGGAAACCATGTATGCCACCTTGAGCTCCTTGGAGATAAAGCAGGATAGAGCTGCAATAATGAAACAATAAATATCAGAAGCTGGATCCAAACAACAGGGTGGCGGCGTTGTCTTCACACCCAACTTCCTGCAGGCATCTAGCTTGCTACTGGTGGAAAGATAGGAAGCTGCTTTCCAGCAAGGGCCCATCTAGTTCAGGGTTATCTATGCTGACTGGCAGTGGCTTTCCAGGGTTTAAGACAGGGAGTCATTCCAAGCCCTATCTGGAGAGGAACAGTTGAAGGAATTGGGTATGTTTAGCCTGGAGATGGGTGGTGCTGTAGTCTAAACCACAGAGCCTAGGGCTTGCCAATCAGAAGGTTGGCAGTTTGAATCCCCGCAACAGGGTGAGCTCCCGTTTCCCGGTCCCTGCTCCTGCCAACCTAGCAGTTCGAAAGCATGTCAAAGTGCAAGTAGATAAATAGGTACGCCTCCAGTGGGAAGGTAAACGGCGTTTCTGTGCGCTGATCTGGTTTGTCAGAAGCGGCTTAGTCATGCTGGCCACCTGATCCGGAAGCTGTACGCCGGCTCCCTCGGCCAATAAAGCGAGATGAGCGCCGCAACCCCAGAGTCATCTGCGACTGGATCTAACGGTCAGGGGTCTCTTTACCTTTACCTTTACCTTTAGTCTGGTAAAGAGGAGACTGAGAGGATATATGATGACCATCTTCAAATAAGGCTGCTACATAGAGGATGGCACAAAACTTGTTTTCTGCTGCTCTGGAGGCTAGGACTCGAACCAATGGATTAAAGTTATGAGAAAGGAGATTCCAACTAAACAAGAGGAAAAACAGCTCTGACAGTAAGAGCTGTTTGGCGGTGGAACAGACTCCCTTGGAAGGTGGTCCATGCTCATTCACTGGAAGTTTTTTAAGCAGGTGGGGTGTCCATCTATCATGTATGACCTAGTTGAGATTCCTGCAATGCAGGGGGTTGGACTAGATGTCCTTTGGGATCCCTTCCAACTCTACAATTCTATGGGGATTGAACCTGGGACCTTCTGCATTCAAAGCAGATGCTCTTACCTCTGAGCTGCAGACCTTCCCCTGAGAATGTGAGGTGAAATGTATCCCTCTTTTGATCTGCCAGAGCTTCCCCGACATTCTTACCCAACTGCCAGGGAAATGAATGGCAGCATGGCAGTCCTCTAGTGCTCTCCCTATTTATTTCAATGATGGTTACAGGACATGGTGCCCTAATGACAAGTCCATATATAACTGTAATAAGTCAACCCAAGTGCAGTAAATAACGTAGCCCCCTCAATTGTCACTTCTTCGTTTTATGATGCTGGTCTGCTTCTGTGTCAGACCTCTTGACATAATCCAGTGGCCCGTTACAATCTCATGCTCTCTAGTGTTATAAATGGCAACACTCTCTTCCAATAGTTATTCATCCACTTGTTAATGCACTATTAATACTATTTACTAAATTTTTGGCAATATGAAACAATGTAGACACTATGTTATTTGTCTGTCTGCTTATTTACTCTGCGGCTATGGTCTGATGACTGTCACTTATGCTTCTCACTTAAGACCAAATGTATTGCATTGTGATATCTGGCACAGTAATTCTTAAACTGAGCCAAGACTGTCTTCTTGTGCATGCAAGGTCAGGAAAAGGTTTATGGCAGCACCACATAAGATGGCGAAACCTTCTGATCTTTTTCTCTCATTGGAACCTTTAATGGGTTTCAAAGTGATTAATTTAGTGCCCGTTAAAACAAAAAGGTGATGGATTTAGAGAACAAGGATGTAAAAGCTCTTATTCTCCAATGGACCAATGTCATTCAAAGGGATAACATGCAGAATCCTACTTATAGGATATATGCTACCATTTGTGTGTGTTTTTGGAGTCTTGGAAAGACTATATTTGCTGGGTTTAAGGGATCATCTGTTTTCTGGGTTTAAAGGATAATGCTATTGCAATGTGTATGTTGATGTTTCAAGATTATCATAGCCCATGCAGAATCAATAGAACAGTTGATGCTTTCATAAAGTTATGCATCGTGTTGTGTATTGCTTGTTTGTTAAATGTATGTTATCTGTTGATTCCTGACTACTGAATTGAGACCACATAGAACCCAATAACTTAACTGAGCAGTGTTCTCTATTACACCTTGGCAAATTTGTTAGCACATGCTCACAACATGGTTTTTCCCAGGCCAAGAGGAAAGTGTGCATGCAGGTACAATTTAAAGGAATTCTGAGCACTGTCGTTCACCCCTTGCGGAGGTACAATTCCCAGAAACCCTTGGTGGCCTACGGTGCCCAGAATTCTTTGAGAGAAACAATGTGCTTCATTCAGATGTGCTTTAAAGGTATAAGACAGGAATCAAACAATCCGGCATGCTAGCAGAAGCCAGAACAAGAGCTCCTGCTATCTTAATGGGGCTCATCCCTCCTCACCTTCATCCCCATAACTCCCCTAAATCTGCTATTTGTGGTTGAGAAAACCCCAGGAACAGCAGGCTGGGGGAGCAGATGGGGGACCGGTCCATTTGGCAAACAGAAATGCTTATGTTGATAAAATGATCAGAGCACTGTGAAGCTGAATTCCTCCTATGATGGGCTCTCACCCACCCCACCTCATCCCCCTTCTGCATGCAGGAATTAACAATGCATATAATAGGGGCAGGGCAGTCATTTATTTCGCTTGGCACCTAAAGGTACCAAATGACATGTTTCAGGGAAGGCATGTCATAGTTGTGGTACCACAGCAGAAAACACTATCTGCCTCATACTCACCAGGGGAAGAATATAGAGAAGGACTTAATTTGCTGCTGCAGAGTGTGTTTTCCTCACTACTGACTGGGAATCATTGGCTGGCAGTCAACTAAGTTCCATTTTGAATAGACCCAGTAAAATTCACATTTATTCATTTATTTATTGAATTTATACCCCACCCTTTCTCCCCAGGGCGGCAAACAGATACACAAATTAAAAACAAAAATAAAGACAAGCGGATGAAAGCATTCTAAGAACAGTTTCAATGAAAAACACCTATGTAAAAGAAGTTGCATGGCGAGTTCCCGCCCCCCCACCAGGATAAATAAAGACACGAGACACCATGGTTTAAGGTTAAATGGGCGAATTAGGCCACAACTTTATTGAATTCAGGAATGAGAGGCATTGGCTTAGGCATTGGTCCTAACGACTATCCGGCTCCAGCCCATTTGCTGGAGACACGGGAAGGGTTAACACCATATCGGGGGAGTCTCCCGCTGAGGCACGTCGACTAGGAGCTCCCCCGGGTCACCGCTCGGGGGCGTGCCTTTGGCCCACACCTCCATAGGCTTCGGACAGGGCCACGCCCCCCGGAGTCCTTTAACGGACCACCCTTCGCTCACTGGGGGGAGGTGATGGCGTTCCTCCCCCCCATCCTCTTAACCCCTTCTTACCAATGCCTACCGCCAATGCCGAAGAGTTGTGACAAGTTGCTACGAGGTAGGCGAAAAACCAAATGGCTGTAAATTGCCAATTGGGAAAAATTCCTACCATGCCCCATGCGGCAACAGACCGAAGTCCATAGCAAAGTCAGAGACCTACCTAAAGCCTACCTAAAGGGAGGGAGGGCGGGAAAACGTGGGGGCTAGCTGGCGAAAAGAGGGTGAGCCCCCTCTGCGCCGGCCCTAAATAGGGCAGACACGGCCGGGATTCCCCTGCTCTCGCGGGGGCTGAAACCAGCCCCCGCTCACGTGGGGGGGTGGGCGTGAAGCCCGCAACCCCACCTCCTGGGCAGGCCAGAAGTGGCTTTACAGTTAAAAACATTCTAAAAGTGATTACAATGAAAAAACATACTTCCATTGAATAATTGCAAGGTTGCCAAGAACAAGTATTTGTCAGCCACCAAATGCCTAGGTAAGCAGGAATGTTTTCAACATGACTTAAGTTAGGTTGAATGAGGGTGTTAACTTCTTGCAAGCCCCTAGATGCAGATGCAGGTACAACTTGCTGATAAAATACATGCTTCCAGATGAATGAAAAGAGATGTTTATTTTCCAAACTTTTCAGAATTTGTTGCTTGCCTCATCTCAGGATTGTAATAATTATATTTGTAAAAGTGTCCTTTTTTCTGGTACTTAAGATTAATTTGAAGTGTAGTTAGACTTTTCCACATGTAAAAAACCCCCCCAAAAAATCCTGCAAATATTTCATTCAAACAGTTACATTATCCTGGGCACTTTATACTTACCGTACTTGTTAGCTTTGACAAACTACAGAGAGTCATAGAAATAGCCATTTTTCTATGCGTTAAAAACAACACTTTAACCAATTTGACTAAATGCCTTTCCTGCTTCATTTTAATTAGATATTTTGCTTCTTCAGCTTACTGGAAAGAGCTAGATAGCTCCAGACCATGTCAGTCTATAAAACAGCAGGTGTCAGCTTTAACTGCCTCCGAAAATATTAAATGTATTCAATTAACAGAACCCCTTAGAGAATGATTCTTTTTATGTTCATTTGTCTTATGCAAGCTTTGCAACATGTTTTCTTTATCTTATGCTGCGCTTCTTGTAGTTCAGTGACCCAATTATATCTCAAATTTTCTAGTGTCACAGAACATTCAATTAGTGCATTTTATGTAATGCAATCTATCACATCAAAGTTGATTGAGCCTGTTATATTACAGAAGCAAAAGAATAAGTAAAATGAAGAAAGAAAAAAGTATCTATCTTCAAAAGGTCACCTATGATGATGATGATAATGTTATGAGGGGTTTTTTCAAGGGGTAGGCTGAATGCTTGGGCACCCTTCTAATTCCTGGATCCATCATGGAGTCAAATGCTGGAATAGCCAGGACAGCCTGGTAATAGTCCGCTAAAGTTGGATTAATAATAATAATAATAATAATATGCTGCACACCTGACTGGGTTGCCACAGCCACTCTCGTCAGCTTCCAGCAAAATATTAAAATACAATAAAACATCAAATATTAAAAACTTCCCTATACAGAGCTGCCTTCAGATGTCTTCTAAAAGCCATACAGTTGTTCATCTGTTTGACCTCTGATGGGAGGGTGTTCCACAGAGCAGGCACCACTACTGAGAAGGCCCTCTGCCTGGTTTCTTGTAACTTCCTTTAACTTGACTTCTCACAGTGAAGGAACCACCAGAAGGCCCTCGGAGCTGGATCTCAGTGTCCAAGCTAAATAATGTGGGGCGGGATGGGAGGTGGGTGAGGATAAAGTGAATGGAATGGAAAACAAAGGAGGCAGGCCAGCGAGGAAGAAATTCCAGTGATTTAGACCACAGATGGTTAGAGAATTGCAAAGAACTTTAGAGGAAAATGCAGAGAGCAAAGGGCAGAACTTTGTACAACAGAAGAAAAGGAAGCAGCTCAGATATGCTGAAGGATGGAAGGAGGAAAACCAAACATGATTCCAAGGCAATATGCAAGAAAAGAGCTGGAAGAAGAAAGCAAGGCCTTGCCAATGTGTGTTTGACATACGCTGGTATTACAAAACGGCATAAACTAATGTTTACACATTGTAAAAGCATGTAAAACGATGATGTCTGTGAATGATAGATTAGACGTCACAGCAAAGAATCTGCAGTAAAGCAGACTTGAGATTTTAAGCTCAGCCAAGTGAAAATAATTTGACTGAAAAGAAATCCAGACAAGACACAGGGAGGAAACAGATTTTTTTCTTCTTAACAAAGCAGATACCCCCCCCCTTTCTTAAGGTGTTAAAACATTCAGAGGCCCAGATGGCAAGTGATGATCCACTGACAAACCGGCAAAGAAAAAAGGCCCTTGGAAGATTTCTGGATGTGCAGTGGCATTACAAGAGAGAAAAGGCAGAAAGAGGATGGCAAATCGATCTTGCCTCACATTCAGGGTCACGCAGAGACACCTGAAAAGAAAACGTGTCCTTTAGGAAGGGGGAAAAAAAGTTTTATGAAACCATTAACTGTCTTTGTGATAAAAGCGAAAAGCAACTTTCCCATAACATTGATAAAGGGGCTATGAAAATAAGGGGGATATTGCAGCCCCACTCAGTAGGGACAGATGGTGCTGTGACAAAGGAGAGTAACATATATA